GTCGCTTTTCTTGTGATCTTCTGGCAAGGATCCCTGAAGCAAAGAAGATTGCATGCCACCCATTGCATTGGACGTTCTTGGGATCAACCTCACGACTTCCCCTGACCCTCCAAAAATATGCTTCGGAAGTTCAAAAGAACCGTCACCGTCCGCAGCTCATCTTCGCAAGCGGACGGAAGTCTCTCAGCTTCTCCCCCCAAAGAAGCTCCACCCTCCCCTCTCGAACATGCTCATCTTCGCAAGCTGAAGAAGCACCGCTCATCTCCCACTCACCCACACCACCCAGCACCGCTCAGCAAGTCCCCGAAACACAAACAGCGACTCGCCCAGGCGACTCGGAAGTAGGCGTCCTCGGGCACCAGCTTGAGCTGCGGAAACGGATGAGACCAATGCAGGTCCACGCACACGGAGCCCTCCTGAAGCGAGCGATCAGGAGCGCGCAAGAGGGGCGCCTCTACTCCCAACCGAACGACATGGGTGTCGTCCCGACAAGACCTGCCGGGGGACCATCCGATGGTCGGAAAAAACCCAACCAGACTCTCAACCAGATGCTCTTTGCCCCAGACGGTTCAAAACCGATAGGACGATCCCTTTCTCTCTTGAAGCCACCTACAGGGGAACCATGTCAAAGCTCCTTTCAAGCGGATCTGCTTTTCGATCTACTTGGAGTAGCTATAGGTGAGATTCATGCATCTCCAACGCACCTTGACCAGGCACATGTGAGTGCTTTTGCAACATGTCGTTGGGGTGTGGAACACCAGCACGAACCGATGCATGGCATTGGAGTGCCTGAAAGATCCTGCAAGTGTCATATCGACATCGATTCGTTTCAAGCTTCCACTCCCCCCACCCGAAACCCACCAACCTCAACAAAAAGGCCCCATCCCTCCCCATCCATCCGGATGAAACGAAAACGACCGAACCACCATCTCCCGACCCCTCACGTGCTCCGCCCTCTCCCGACCTCCGTGCTCCGCCCCCGCCTCTGACCCTCGACCCTCGGGTTTCGGCTCGCCGCTCGTCCCGCTGGCTCCTCGTTCTTCACGTTCGTGCGCGGATCCGTGCGGTGCAGCTGCACCTCGTAGGGCGCCGCCGGGTGCAGCTTCTTCGGCAGCGTCACCTGGCAGTGAAGCACCGGGGGGTGCTAAGAGCCCGGGTCGTTGGTCTCATGAAGATTGGTGATTGGAAGACTTTGGGGCAAGGCCAGTCAGAAGTTGGAGCCATACACCTGAACTCCCTCTGCTGCTCGGCGGCCTCTGGCTCGGAGGAACAGCTGAAGGCTGAACCTTCAAAGGCTGCATCCTCCTCACAGGCCGATTGCTGCTGCCAGCACTGATCACAGCTCCGGACTGGACTCGTTCGAGAATGGTCGAGCCACGAAAGAAAAGAAAACGACTGAAACTGGACGCGGAGACCAATTGAGTGAAGTGGTAGCTGTCTCTTGTGTGCATCTTAAGGAACCACCCAAAAATATAGACGTTTTTGTGCTCCACTGAAGTCAAGGATTTTTCTAGGCTCGGGTCCCCTAGTCTCAGACCCATTCTTTGAATAGTCGACCGGACTTCCAGGGCATCTAGACTACAACTCCCCTTCGTTTCACCTCCGTCCTCCCCTCCTCACTGTGGACGCTCCTCGTCGGCCAGCTTCACCTCGAAGGCCTTGTGCGTGGGGATGTGCCGCATCAAGGTGCGGTAGCGGCGCACCTGGCGCAGCCCCCGGTCGCGCGCTCCGCGCGGCTCGCCGCGGGCAGGTCCAGAGAGTCCAGTGCCCTGGTCCCCACACGGATCCAGAGCAAGTTTTGGGAGTGGATGGAGAATAGTGACATTTCTCAAGTGCTGATGAGTGGGACACCGAATTGAGTGTAGGTCTTGGTACGGCCTTGATCTGGGTCCCTCTCCAGACCCAAAGAGCTGTTACACCGTTCTGTTTGGGGGACTCCCTCAGTGTCCGTATTCCGAATCGAATGTGATTCCGATTCACCTGTGTGGGTTACTTCACCAAGTCTAGGGATAACAAAGCATCTCACTGGCAGTTCTAGGGTCATCCTGGAGTAGATAGAATATGAGGAAATCCAAACAAAATCCAGGAAACAGGAAGCTGGTCATGCTTTTGGATCGGTTCATATTCTATCTGCTCCAGGATGTTTGTCTCATTACAGTAAAGAGAAGACGCGCCTCTTCAATGCCCACCCACCCTCGTCCTCTGGGTCGCCACCCATGAAGTCCCATACTTCACATCACCCTCACCTTGAGCTCCGGTGGCAACTTTCCTTTCAGCTCTGCCATCTCCGGGCCTCAGGCACCGCAGGATCGGCTGCTTAAACAGGTTCCACATCACCCTCCACAGGTTCCAGATGGATTTCTTAGTGCATGTGCTGAAACCACCAACAGCCAACATTGTATCTATCAGGTTCTAGATGCTCCCCCCGCTCCGAGCTGCTCTCGCCCTCGAGCTCCAAGGGGTGTAATCCTTCGCCCCACTCCGCGGTGAAGTCGGCGTCCCGCGCCACCCGACCGTACAGGTAGACCACCTGAGAGGAGTGGACGGCTCGGCGCAGGCGTGGAGGTGACGGGTCGGGGGGAGATGCAGCTGGTTGGTTGTGGCAGGGCGGAGGTTTCAAGAGGAATCAGGAGTTGTCGTTTCTCCGGAGGGATTGGTCACAAGAAGGAGATGACAACGACGGTCAACAGCACCCCTCTCCGCCCAGATCACTCAAACCTCCCCCCACCCCACCACCAGCCATCCACCAACTCGCCCAGACACCGGCATCTGCTGGGAGGCATAGAGGAACTCCACCGCCGCACAGGTGCCGCTGATGTCGGTGATCTTCGGGTTCCCCACGAAGCGGCCTCCAGGATCACCAGCCGCCCCCAGCCGTGCTCCCGGAAGAACCCCTCCGGTCGTGCGTTGATCGTTAAAGGGTGTCTTAACCGTATGAATCCACCGAACGGACCGGAAGCTGCTGGCATCTGTCGGAAGATTTGGCCAAGTGGCTGGGATTCTTTGCAATGGGGAGTCTAATTGTGCACAACTTCTGCGAAGATCTAATCTTCCTCGAGAACCTCTGTGGAAACAGGCTCTGTTCAAATGGCCCTTGGCCAACTTGATCGTAGCCATACCCTCCCACCCAAAGAAACATAAAGAAACAGAAGGACCTGCCCAGAAAGGACCCCATGATGCCCCAAGCAGCCCAACAACCAAGCATCAGAACCACCCAAAACTGACCCGGTCAACGAGGGTCCAGACCGTGACCCACCGAGGCACTGTCCGGATGCAACTCATTGCAGCTTCCCAGCGACTGCTGCAAGGCCTGAAGCTCCTTACAGGTCGCATCGCCTGGGTCTGGTGAGAAGACACCAACCCGCCACCGCTGAAAACGGGGGGGGGGGGCGAGACGAGGGCCGTCTACGGGTCGTCTACGTGGTGATTTCACCGGGGGTGGCACCGAACATGAACCCCTTGGTCACAAATCACTTGGCAAATAGAGTGAAGAGAAGAGGATAGACCTATCCTTTAAAAAGGGTCATGTATATATACTGTCGTGCAGGACTTCTACCCTCAACAGGACATAGGTCACGTGAAAAAGCAGAACGTGGAATCGGGTCCTCGGAAGATTGGAAAGGGGTATGATCTTCCGAGGGCCAAAGGGGCGGGATTCTGTAGATTCCTGGAACGCGCGCACGCAGAATATGGTCGACGCGAACCTTCAGACTCACATGACTCAACGTGTAGGGAGGCGATGGGACCTATTTGCACGCAGCTTTTGTTCGACCGGCAACCCTCCTCGACTGTTATCATCAGATCTTAAACCTATGGACTCTTAGGCTCTTAGGCCATATGCCGAAAAAGAGACTTGGAGGAAGGGAGCTCAAGTCCCCAGTCCGCCTGCCACCCCCCTTATGTTACGCTGCTTGCCCCCCGGCCTTTCTCACAAAGTCCCTTCTGCTGGCCACAGCCCTGCAGCAGCAGCGACAGCACCAGCCCGAGCGCGCTCAGGCGGCCAGCCAGTGCCGGTGTCGCGTGACGAGGCGGCGGGTCGTTCAAGGCCATGGCGCGTGACGTCACGTTGTCGGCGCGTCACACGGGGACAGCCTGGCTGTCCCGGTGGAAGTTGTGGAGAAAGGGTTTGGCCTTTCGATGCATGAACCAGGAGCTGCACCATACAAATGGATGAATCTTCGAGTGGTGGATGTCAAGGCTATAGAGGAGGTATAAGTTTCAAACATGAATGTAGATTGCACTACACCATGGAGGTAAAACTTGTAAAGAGCTGAATTTCGTGCATGCCACCCTCCACAGCTTACGAAGAGATGAAACTCTCGGCGGGCCCATCCTTGGCAGGTCCCTGTTTCTATAGCTTCGTCCTGGAAACCCACTCAACCAGCAGAAACAAATGGTTATATGGCGCCAGCCTGAGATGCTTTACATAGGAAGTGGCTGGGGCTGGGACTGTCCAGCACTGTTACTGGTTGGCATTGGGTTTCCAGGCTGTGATCAAGAAGTTGCTTGATCCTTGAGTCTCAGTTCGTACATCGGAAAAGAGGTCCAGTCGTACCTGTTTTCATAGGGTCATGTCCCATTTTTTAGGGTACTTGAAGTCGGGTCAAGGATGTTTGCCCAACTCCCTACTATACTCTTATGTCCGAGCCAGACAGCCCTGCAGCCCTGCAGCCGCATCCACAGCGTCCTGTCCAAATCCCAGGCAGCTGGCGGATCATAAGACGTCAACAGGGATGTCATCAATGTTATCAACTGAAACCCGGAATCGTCCCTTTTCGATCCCTGTCGGGGATCCTGAGCACACGACTCCTGCGTGCGAAAAAAACCAACAGCTAGGCAGAAGCCACGTCCAAAAAGGCCTCCCAAACCACCCAAAGGACCCAACGAAAGAACCTCACCCACGTCGAAGCTGCGCATTCGCCCCACGCATTCACCGCATACGCTCCGAACCGCCGAAGCGGCGGCGCGGCGCTCGGCGCGGGCGGTAGGGCGGGGCGCACCGTCTCCACGATGCGGGCGACGGCGCGCTCCGCCTCGGCGCCGGGGGTGATCTGGGCCAACAGGAGCTGCACGTCGGCCTGGTGCGCGCGCGCGCGCGTGGGGCGCGAATGGGGACGGATGCCAGAAGGATGCGGAAGGAGTCGCGGGACCGCGGCAGGTTGAGCAGATGGGGTGGTGGAACGAAAGATCCAAATGGGGTCACTGGGTGAAACCCTTCAATCCCTTGATGGTTTGATGGTGATGGTGGGTTAGAGCCCAGATGCTGATGGTTAGTTGCCTGTGGATCGGTTGCGGTAACAAGAGTGGATTGACATCAACCGATCCAGGATCCTGCTGTCAAGAAATTCGGTAGCACCTTGCAAGAACCAAAACTCCTACAGTACACTCCCTGAAAATGATCCCCTACAGGTCAATGACCTTGTCTTACCAGAGTTGATCATACAAAAGCACACAAAACCACTACTCAAGGAGGTCTTGAGTCTTCAGGACGAGGTTTCACTGGGTCGGACTGGACTTGGTGGATCATGATTGCGTGGGGGTTCATCACCTCTTTGGTCGGCGGAACATGGACCATCCTCCCAGTGGTTGGGGGGCCATCCCATCCCCTCCCATCCACGAGGTCACTCGTCATGCATTGATTTCCAGGGAGAGTCTATGAGTCTACGGATACCTGGACCCTCCAAGGGGTGTCTAATGGACTACCCCACACTACCTATAGGGTCCTGGTATGGTTGATCCAACTCAGGAACTCAGGTGGTCTCAGGAGTTCTTCCTCCCAAATCCGGCGATCTGCTCCGGGAGACCGCCGGATACACCCGTGCCTCCCAGCAAACGCCCGGCAGGCGTGGGGGCCAAGCCTGGGCTGGTGTAACTGGAGCTGAGGACGGGCGTGATCGGCTCCTTCAGGCGTAGCCCGGAAACGGGACATCCAGATAGAGGGTGGAATGGACATCCATTAAAACTCTAAGGAGCTATGATTAGACACCCCTTAGGGGGCCTGGTAGTTATTGATGCCCAAAAGACATGCTTAGAAAGGGCACCTACAATCACCTACATTCAAGGGGCGGAACCACCATGTCACCACAATACCAGTCACTGGCACATCCGTCTCTATGGTACTCATATTTCTGCCCTTGCTGGCCCTTCGATGCGGCACACCACCTTGCTCCCAGGGTCATAGTAGAGTGAATTAACTTCTAGATCCTATAGTCAGATGCCAGTCAGGCTTGGCATCCTCTCCATTGAAAAAAACACTTGGAGTTGGGGCCCTCAAAACGACCCAAAAACCCACTCACACTCCCGCCTTCATGGACCGTGGAGCTTTGCGGGCCCCTTTGCCCTGCGGCATGCGACCGAACATTGGACTCAGGCAGGGAATTCAAAGCACTGACGGGGGTGGGTCTTGCGAGGTGTGTCCCACGTGCTTTGGTTCAACGGCCCAAGGACCGACGTATCATCACAGGAAAAGGATCCGAAGAGGAACCTCTGATCCTTGGGAGCTTGGCCTGAGGAGGGGGGGGACTGGCCCAGAGAGGAGCGGACAAGGGTGGATTCGCTAAGCACGTGAGGAAAAACCATCCCCCAAAAAAAACACCTGGCACAAGTTCGGGCACTTGGTCGCGAATGTCCGTGGAATTTCCGACTCATCTGGCATGGAGCTAGCTAAGCAAGACAGCTGGAGTTCCGCCCTTACCACTTCCGTAAAAAGGCTCAGCCCTTGTCATCCTAGTTGAAAAAACGTGGACCTGTCCCCGCACCACGGAAAGGGTGTCCATTAGCCCCTTACAGGTAAAGGGGTGTCCACCAAGCACCTGTTGGGGTTTCAGGTCCTGCTTGTTGAATAATCCTTGTTTCATCTACACCGAAAGCTTCAAGAAGCTCGCACCCCGACGGGTCGCTCGCCCAACGCCGCATGGGCAAGCCCTGGATCGGTGGTCGAGCCCCGACGCATGGATCGTCATGGGTTCCTTGACCTCTCAGTTGTTCCGGAGAGTCTTTCAAGCAACACATACCATGCCCAGGCTGGGCAGCTCCAACTTCTTTTGGGCACATACTCCAACAGTCCGAGCTACAGTGCCAGCTACATCTGTCCCAGCTACGTCCTCTCGGTGTCACCCCGAATGGTGTCACCCATGGGGTCCGGCACGGTCGGCACGGTCGGTAGCTGTTTCCACCCGTCCTTCGACTTCTTGGAGCTCATCGGCCACCAATCCTCGTGCTCCTCGGGTGAACCGCTCGAAGAGTTCCGGTGTGGGTGACCCACCCAGGGAGACAGTCGGGTCGGGCGCGGTGGGACATGAATCGATTGACACCGAAGATGAACATGGAACCTGGTATGGACCAGGCTGGAAGACGACTTTCCGAAGACCAACCCGGTTTTCAGGTTCCACGTGGGTCTCTTCCAGAGTGTAATGGATGGTCCAACGTGGTGACGGGGTTGGAGGTGGGAACTGGTTGGAGAGAGGGCACGGAAAGGAAGGCCCTGTCGGCCTGATCATAGAAGTGAACGTGCTGGCCCCTTGGAAGAGGAGCTTTCTTCCGAGGGCTTCTTGTCCAAGAGTCGTTCCTGGTCACCACTGCAACAGCGGATGAAGATGGTCAACACCAACCATTCTACAAAGAGTGATACTCTTTCAGCGATTGGACAAACCCAAGCTGTAGCCTCAAAAACACACCTTGAGCTCAAAAACAGATGATACGGGAGACTTACTCCAGCGGCTACTGAAAACACGTCGGATTCATCTGGATTCCCCTCGGAAAGATCGGGGCGAGCGTAGTGGGTTCTTGTGCCATGGGACTCGCCACGGGCTGAGCCAAAGGGATGAGCCAAAGAGATGAGCTTCGATCAGACCAGCTTGGTTGGTGCTTCGTGCAACCAAAAAAAAAGAAGGTGGGTAAGATGGTGATGCATCAGTTTATATACATCGATACACAATGACTGTAAACAGATCAGATCTATATAGCTTGAAGATACTCGAAGCCTTTCTGAAATTTGTAAATTCCTTCCACAGCGCCAGTAGTAGCGCCAGTATACCGATCTTTCATGTGCCATAGAATAGAAGCCCATGAAAGGAGCCAGTCCAACCATCTCCGAGCATCTGAGGCGTGCTGGATGAAGGTATAGATACAAGCCCCTGGAGCCCCGGAGGCTTCGGACAGAGGTCCAAAGACATCAAGGTGGACAGATCCAGTGGCTACAGCAGACAAAGGAACGGCTGGAATGCATGGTCAGCAACCACTCGAGTCACCTTCAGTCTTCACAACCCCCTCCAACCACGTGTGAAGAAACCCCTCCCAACCATCACAACTCAACACACACGGTGAAAGCGGTCCCTGGCGGCGCTCCGGACGCCTGTGACCGCGAAGGCCAGTTGCGTGAAGTCCAAGGGCAGAAACAGCAGCGCCGTGACCTGGGTCGTCCGGGTCACTGGGGTACCAAATGGAGATGAAGATCCCAAACAGGGATGACCGGAAATGAGGGATGATGGGGGAACCCAAACATGTAAGTCTGTCCAAACCTGTAAAGTGTGTGCTTTTTCCTATCTTCTGACCAGACTGGGCCGCCCGCGCTTCTCCAACCATTGGCCTTTTGGCTCCGTCCTGCTCCACCCTTCACCGGGTCCAAAACCCCGAACAAACTGGGTCTCCCGGCCACCACGAGCAGGCGCACGGTTCGGTCGCTGGCCATGATATGAAGTGTCGCCTCGGCAGCTCCGGACCCAGCACGGGGGGTCCAGGTCGCCCAGCCCGGGTGAAAGCCTTGCCGGCGCGGAGTTCGGGGCGGCTGAGCGCCGGAGTTCTCAGCACCGGCGTAGCACCGGCGGGAGAAAGGTATGGTTCGTTCCGTGAACTCTCGCCTGACCGCAGGGAGATGTGAAATCCCAAGAGGTTAAGGTAAGGCACCTAAGGTGTTCCCAGGAGTGTTTCCTCATCGCTTCAGGGATCTTCCAACCGAAAAAGATCAAGCACCCCTACTCCCCGCGCGCGCTGCACTGCGGAGCGACATGGTTGCGCAGCTGCCGCTGCAACGCGGCCACCGCCATGGAGAACGAACCTCACCGGTGCGCTTTGCGCGCGAAACGGAGGGATGGAGCGCGCGAAACGGGGTGGTGTGCCCGCTGTGCCCCGCGGCAAACAAAAGTGTTTTGTATAGGTACATAAACTGGGACTGTATAAACTAATAGATGAACTATTTATATATACCTTTTAGAAAAAGATAGAATCCAACAAAATAACGTTTAAAAAAACAAACAAACACGTCCATGCTGTTAGACAGGGGTGCAAGCTGTTACAATGGAAGCTGCTATGGACAACAAAGCTTTCCCAAAGTAAAGGTGAGTGGATCCTCACAGGAGATGGGCAGATGAAACCCTCTCCAGCCAGCGCTGTAAACATCCACCAAAAGAGGAACACCACTGGACACAACATACCCATGCTCCAATCTTCCTCACCGACAGAACTCGCAACTCAACATCTCCTGGCCGGTACCAAGCAACCAGTTGAGTTGAAGACAAAGAGATTCTCACCATCCACCAATCAGGGCATGTGTGAGTTCGAAGCTGATCATTCCCATCTGTCCTTCACTCCCATCAGTCCACCTGTTTTGGAGGCTTCCACATGGCGACTCGTGGAAAAAGATGAATGGCTTCGACATGTCAAAAGCCCGGTCAAAGCCGAGTTCCATCGAAATCCCATGCAACGTTATCCCCTCCGCCCCTCAATCTTCCCAGCAACGTGTCTGCATTTTGTAGAAAGAACGAAGCACTCACACTTTCCTCGTGGAGGGGAAGGGTCGGGGGCAGAGTGTCTCGGGGGTTCGGGTCCGGCTCTAAGGGTTGGAGCTCATGGTACCAGCCAGGCTCAACGAGACATTTCTAGCCGCTGGCCATCCACACCGCAAAAGTACTCAGCGGGTGGGGCACCGTTGATGTGGGAAGTGACGTAAGAACTTCTTCAGTACCCTGGCTAGTTCACTGCTACAGGTACGGTCGCATTGACCCAGGTGATGTGGCATCGCACTTTGGAGGAAGCACTTGCTTAAACCACGAACCACCGAGCAAAACAGTGAAAAAGCAGTCGCGTCGCATTGGCCGGTCCTCCCGTCCCGATTCAGAAGGCGTTCTACAACGGAGGATAGGGTGGTAGCCGAAATGGCTACATCCTCGAAAAACGCCGAAAGTCAAACACGGCACCAAAATTAAGACTTAAAACCGAAGTTGACATGTTCTTCGCTGATGCACACGCCACGTCTGGCCACCACAGTGGCGTGGTTGGTCACAGTTGTTTTTTCATTCCATGAAGCATTCCAGCGCAGCGTTGAAGGTTTGCTGGAGATTTTGGGATGAAAAATATGTAGCTTGAATAAAGGTGCTGGAGCTTGGCTTGGCTGGTGAAGTTGGCTGTGATGCGTCTATACCATCATGCTGAGTTTCCTCTCAACAGAAGTCCCCAGCACCCAAACACCAAAGGTTCAAGTTGCCTTGTAGTGAAAAGGACAAGTAATGTATACTGTATACTGTTTATTTAAAAGCATAATTTAGGATTGTAAAACCTCTTCAGATTCATTTGTTTTCATACAGGCATTGAAATATCATCAACCGTCTGCATTGAGCGTGGGTCTTGTTACCTCTGCGTTCCTCAATAGAACCCTGAATACAGTAATTCAGCGGAAAAATCTCTGAGCAATCCCTTCAATCTGTACAACGAAGCCGCCACGCACCTATGTCATACCCCATGACGCTTCAGCCAGGGCATGTGCCACATGGGAGTTCTGTCATATCAAATCGAGAAAACCAGGGGACGAACGGGTGATTGTTTTTTCGACTAAATGAAACCTGCCAACGGCTCATGAAGCTGCCCAGAATCTTGACAACCAACAGAACATCCTTCCAAAAAGATCAGAAGACACTGCAATTACTATCGTACCAGGGGGAGGGGGAGTATCTTTAAGTATGTATATGTCTGTATATATGCACCCAGAAACCATTTGACCTCGATTTTAATAGGAAAAGACATAAAAGACCATGTGTTGGCTCCAAAAACAGGGGTCACATGAGTTCCATATATCTTTATAAGGATCTGGAACATGAAGCTGTTGACACTATCCATGTCATTCAGATCCCTCGGTGCAATGGCCCAACGACGAGCTCAGCTGGCCTCTTGGAGGCCAGTGAACGTCGAGGTCGGACGCTCAACGACGCGCACGACCGGCGCTCAATTCCGCCCCCGGCTCAGCGAGGTTCCTGGCGAAGGCGTGAAGGGGTCGAAAGGGCCAACCCAACTGGAAGGGCCATTGAAATACACTTCTTAGAAACTATCCATGAAAGTATGAATCAAAATGGTCCCAAAAGGACCTTTTTCCACAAACAGGTGCTTTTCATCTTCCACTTCTCATGATTTTCTTTCGTTCGGAGTGACCTCCCCAGCTCCGCAGCGACGCCCTCCACGGCCGAAGAAGCACCTCTTGGCCCAAGTGATAGGCCCTCCCGGCATAGGGCGTGAAGCCTGGAGCACCGGTGGCGCACCGGAGGACCGGTGCCAGTGTAGCCAAATGAAGGACGAAGGTCCATGAACCGTCGAAAGCAATGGTCAAGTGAAACTAGGGGGATGGCTTCACAAAAAGTGAGTTCGGGCGTGTGTTTCTTCGAGGGCGCAGGCTTGGATTTCTGGGCGCAGGCTTGGCTCTGGCTTTCTAGAGATTGAACTCACTCAGCGGTTCGGGCTTCAAGGCGGGCCAGCCCCAAGAGAGAAGGTTCTTGAGAACCACACAGCTTGTCCCGAACCAGGAGTTCAAAAGAGAAGGCGGTGTTCAATCAAAGGTTTTCCAGAGACATGTTTTCGGCTTTCGATACCACCTGACCTATTCCCAATTGAAAGGAACCCAAAAGGGAGTGGAGGCTTCCAAAGGAATGCTCCAACAATACGAGCCACCAAGTCACAGCCACCCCCCCGCAACGACCTGGCCTACCGGCTCGTGTGCCGCGGCTCCCTGCACGTGTTTCTCTGCACGCAAAGAAGCGCGCAGCATGCGCAGCGTTCGGAGAACCAGCAGTTTCAGTGGAATCTCACTCTTGTCCACAGCTCTCAACAAATGGCTTGCAGGGATAGGATGCTGGGGATTTTTGGTTCCAAAAGCACAGGTCCAACTAAAGTCAAAACATGTGCTGGGGTGGAATCCACATGTTTTGGGGTAACTTATTATATCGACGGCCGCACCCCAGTCGACCGCCTGAGATCTTGGCAGCTGCGGCAGGTCCACGTTGAGCAGCGCGGTCTCCCACAGTGCCTCGCGCTGGTCCCGGTCTCCACGCGCGGCTCAACCCGCGCGGCAAAACTACTCCGGTCGCAGCGGGAGGATACGGCGGGGGGGTGGGCTCTTTTTCACCTGGGACCAGGGTTGGCGAAAGACCTCCCAGGCAGGTCCCTGGCTTTGACCCACAGCCGCGTCTAAACTGAAGTGGAGGTTGAATGAGAGGCTTCTTTCTCTGCGACGTGTCCCACACCATCTCTGATGAAACCCCAAGTCCCCCAAATCCCGCTTCTGATGAAACCCCTCCAAGGGTAGCGCTCCGCCGGCCTGTCGCATGGATTTGGCCATCTTCCACGCCACTCGCGCACAAAGGAGCTGGAGGACCTCGATCACATCGGCAGCACCAGGTGTCCATTCGGCTTGACTCGGAACTGACATCGGAACTGCGCATGAATCGACTTGGATGTGCAGCTCCCAGGAACGGGGAAAAGATAAACAAATATTCATTCTACCAGTTTGGGGGATTCACCCATTAGGGCAAACAAGACATCACCTAAGCAAAACCCGGATCAACTGCAACCATCAACGGAAAACGACATCAATCCAGAACACAGCATTGTGTCCAGGCATTTCCATCAACCAACAGTGACCAAGTGCCGGGAAGAAAACAGTGTCAATCTCAATCCTCAACTGCGTCTTCCCGCTATCTGCCAAGATGGTGTTTCTTGTCACATCTTCTTACAAAATCATGCAACATTGGGGCAAGTGAAGATGTATCTGTATGCGTGCTAGGAATGGAATTCACCCACTGCATCAGCATCTGCCAGAAATCTGAATGTAACACCTACTACACAACCACAGTCCTCCTGGGCCACCAGTCCCCTTAAAAGGAATGCATCCCTTGAGCTTCCCCCCCCTTCACATGGCATCCCCCTACAACCTGGTGCCTTCTTCCTAAACCCCAAAACTCAAAACCATGTTCTATTCTTTTGGTCACCCCAAACTCGTCGACGACGATGCTCTTTTCGGGCTCCCAGACGACGCTGCTGCAAATGGCAAGGTGGCCCACCACCGTGTAGGCACTACACCTGGGTGACCGGCAGAACTGGCAGAACCGGTGCTGACTCGATGGTGACTCGGTGCTGAGCCGCCCGGGCTTGGTGCGGTGCTTTTTTCACACCAAGCCAATAAGTGACATCACCTGTTTACTCTCAGAAGCCCTGTAGCACCTGAACACACCTTTGGAAGACATCACTGACCCGATCTCCACCTGACCCACCTGACGCCTTTGCACCAACCAGCCAGCGCCCCGCGAGCGTCCGCTGGGCGCTGCGGTGTCCGCTGGCGCTGTGTGTCACAGCGGCTCGCAGAGCGTCCAGCTGGGGCCCCGAGCAAGTTCACGTAGTGAGACTCGGTCGGGTGCTGCGGATCTGCGACCATGCACTCCTGCCGCCACCGATGGGGCTCGAAGGGGCTCGATCGGGGCGCCGCAAATAACGAACGGCATGGCGAACGATGCACGGGTGCAAAAGAAGGTCTTATAGTAGAGAGTTCCTGGTACCCTAGGGCTCCAACCATATCCTCAGGAGGTGGCTACCCCCCCCCGAGCCCACCCTAACCATCTTGTCGGGAGGTAGTTGGAGCCCTAGGGGTAAAACACAGTGGTGTCCACTAGCATCAACTTCTCGGTACCCGAATTGAGTCAATTCGAATGGCCATGTCCATGGAAGGAGTCCTAGACGGGACCACCACCCCACTTCTCGACATGGCAATCGTTGGATCCTTTTGATGGGGGCACATGCACACATGCTGGCTGCAAGCCTCGGACCATGTACAAAATAGAGATAGCTTGCAGAGATTCAGCAGATGGAGACCTTGAAAAAATGAATGATCCAGGCAAGAGACCCCAAAAAACCACGTTCAGTAGACCCAGCCTTACCTTTTCGCGACTGTCGAGCCAGAGCCACAGGCTCGTACCCCCCGGGACCTATCTTCCACTTCCTAGTGGGTCAGACGGTCAGAGTGTAACACTTACCTTAAGAACCCCCAGTGTGTCCACACCGTTTTGGGAGGAGGATCCCTCCTTCTTGGTATAGACTCTGCTGGTACTGTAGGCGTTCCGAAACGACCCCCCAAACAACCGACACGGTGCATCCGAGACCTGGCGAAGTCGAAGCTTATGAGTTGAAAAAATGTGACCTGCCATGTAGACCAAACAATTCGCTCAGTTAGAACCACATCGGGATTCGAGAAAACCCTTTCGCCCTTCGAGAAGCCGTACCTGTCGCCCAACCCTCCGAGTTCGCGGACCGTCTTGAAGAAGTTGGAGGGCCCCGGCGGCTTGGACAAAAGCCCCAGCAACATCACCACCTCCGAAACCGACGCCGAACTCGGCTCGGACGGAGCGCGGAGCGCGCGGCACGTGGCGGTGGAACCGGAGGGAGCCGGGCGGGCGGAGCAGCGGGCGTTCGCCGTTGGACTGGACCATCGGGAGCAGGCAATGGTCTTTGGCTGTTGAGTGAGAAAGAAGGTGAGAAAGCCATCACCTACCGGTCTGGAGGCAGTGACATTGGGTGGTGCTTTTGTCGTGTTAAAGGTCAGTCACATTGGGAGACCTGCGGACGCCCGTCTCATGCGGAGCTCGATCTCGAGACAACTGGGTGGCTGAGACGCTTCAGCTCCCATGGCCCACGGCCGACAGAAGCCTTCGTTTCAGTGGTATCGACGTCGACTCTCCATCCCCAGAGTCGAACCGAAACTCGGAGGAGTCGACCGGAGGAGTCGACCCGGTCTCTCTGAATTCCACCCTCCAGAATCGGAGGAGCCCTCAGTTCGGTGAAGGTTTGGTTCGGGTCCAAACCCCTGCGTTCTGCAGGGTCAAAGCCCTCCAGAAGTGGTCGGGTCCAATGATGCT